GGGCTGCCCCAAAATGGCGGGGACCGACCCAGGGGCTGGTATAACCCAGAGCTGTAGAAAGGTTCTCTGGGAGAAAGTCAAGCTGACCCTCAGAGGGGCTAAAAGGGAAGAAAGACATTCACCCTCTGGGCATTAATGACCAGTTTGTTATTGAGCCTCCTGAGAATTTTGTTGTTTCTCTCACACATGGCCCAGAGTGAATCAAATTATCTTACCCTAAACCTGCCAAGCGGGATGGGGCTTTACTCTGAGAGCTTGCCCTGTGAGATAAACTATAAAAGAGCATGCCACTTACAATTTTATAAAGGGAATATTCAAGGCTTTTACTTTTTCTCCCTATTGAAAGGCTCCTTTTCACAGAAAACTATATGAAGCAAACATTCTGTGTTATACAAACATTAAATAACGAACTTATAAGCAATCACCTCTTGAGTGGCTTTTTCCCCTCCTCTCTAGTCCTAGATAGATACAAGGTCAATGAAAAAAGCAACAGCTTCCTAAGCTACAGCAGCAGAAGGCTCAACTCCACACAGCTCCAGACTCACCACTTCACCAGTCCAAATGATAAAAAATAAACAGTATACCCACTACCACACAGCTTCTTGGCACATGGACTGAGGCAAAGGAAAGAGAGAAAGTTACAGCACAAGAGCAGTAACACACAACCATCACCCTATCCCATCCAGAGCTTCCCAGCACTGAGGAGGTAGTTTCCATCCCCTCTGGGTACTTCCAGAGCAAGCTGCACACAGTGTCACCCCGTTCCTCCTATGTCAGTGTCTGGCATCTCACCTCTGCTCTCGTAAGAGTGGACTGCCTGGCGAGAGGGTGAACTGCTGGTGGCTAGGGCTGGACACAGCACTGCTTTATTTTTATAAGATGCAACAGCACATGCCCCACAATTCCATTAATCCAGCCTGAGTGAAAATGAAAAGCAGATGAGGACCGTCTTTCCCTGCCCACAAATGAGCTTCCAAACAAAGTCAGTCAAGTTCAAGAGGGAAGCTGGGAAGCCCAGCGCACATTGCACATGCAGTCTCTTTCTTAACACTTGCAACTGTCTCTGCTTTACCTGCACTTGTTAAAACATAATGGCCAGTCTTCGCGAGCGAAGATTTGGGAAAGGTCATTAAACCCTTCGAGCCTGCGCAGTGGATTTTTTAGGTGAGACCCAGTGTGCGCGACCACTAGACCACTAGAGGCCCCCTGTTAAAACATACCAACATACTAAAATACAACACTTACCATAACGTGGTACTAAGAGAACTTTAAACCTGGCAAAGTCTTTATTTATTTTTGCAGTTTAAACATCTCAAGCCCTGCCAGGCAATCAAGATAATAAAACAAATTAGCATCTTCCAACGCCTACCCTTACAGAACGCAGAAAAATCAGTTTTACTGCAATTCTTAAACAAAAAGGAGTTACTGAAGTCTAATCAAGGCCAACAATGAAGTAGTAGTTTCCATGTATCAAGGCACAACTTTCTACCTCCTCCTTATTTAAGCCAAAAATGTTTTGGGAACTTGCTAATTTTCGCTTTCCTTTTCACTCATCACAATATACACTGTTTTGCATTAACATTTAAGGTTATCTACTTAAAAGCATGTTTCATACTTGGCCACTTTCAGTTTGCTGCAATTTCTGAACTTCTTCAATACCAAAGTCCCCATGGACCACCTGTAACCTTCAGCAGAGAACCCTCCATGTTTTTGTCACTAAATTTTCCAAACTTCAGCTGAATTGCACATATTCTTGTTCAACAAAAACACAAAAAGAGAAAGCCTTCACTCTCTATCAGTCATTTATTCCATCTAGTTCTACCATTCCCTTGAAATGGATAAGAATTCTACATCAAACCTCAACCCAAACTAACTGCTTTTCCCCTATATCTGAGAAATAGGCCTTAAAAATAAACACCTCCATCCACCAACATACTGACCATTGGGTTACAGAGGCCAAGAAGCCACCACAGAATAGGTCTGTTTAAACCAAAAGAAGCCACCCGACTGCCTCCTAACTACAGCACTTCAACTTAACAGCTTCTTTACTTAAATAGATAACATTATATTTATTCAAAAGAACTAGATCATAATGCTCCATACTTCTGCCTTTAAAACACTGAAATAAAATCATCTTGTCAAAGACTACAGGAAAAGCACTTTGAAAGCAACTTGGTATCAACGTGGCAAACTTACCAAAGGTCCATCCCTGCAGCCTAACAAGGTCTTCACAACTTGAGCCTTAGGGCATAATGACTGACGCTACTCTAGTTACCGGGAGCCTCAACCCTCTACAGAACCAGGAGCTGCCTTCCTAAGAGCAAGATCTGGAAGGAGGATGGGGTTAAACAACATGAATCAGACACATAATTCTATTAATCACAATAGCTTAAAAAAAATCAATACAATATACCATACCACTGCTATCAGAACATCATATAGCCCCTATGAAACAGATTGGTTAATTTCATTAATTAACTTCACGTGTCATTAACGCTTCCTAGCACAAGCTATAACTTGGATATGAACCTCTGAAATGGGATTTCATCCGCACTGAGTAACAGCAACTACCTGACAAGTGTAAGAGCCTCAGTTAAACTGGGATTCAGAAACTGGAAGAAAGAAATGCCTTGTGCAAACAGAATAGGGGAAAAAAGTTTGTTCTCTGCCCTCCTGAGAGGAAGATGACTAAACAGGGGATTTATAGTGTTCAGTACTAACTACAGATACCAATATGACTAATGTAACAGCAGTAACATACTTACTATTAATGGTTACTAAGGCAAGGGATTGATTGTCAACAAGTAATTCCAAATGAAAAGGTACTTTTTGATCCATAAACTGTTGTGGTCAGTTAGGAGCACCCAAGTGGACACACCCTGTTAAAGCCCAGCTGCTCCCTGACAATCAGGGAGCTGCCAATCAGCCCCCCCACTCCCTCATGTCCCTGTGACCCCAACCACGCAGTTACCCCACCTGTTACTTCCCTCTAGGCCTCTTTGGGTCCTCTCTGCTGAACAGCTCTAGTGTTGGCTTGGGGACTTTCCCCAAGATGCAGCAGGCTTACACCGCCCTGACTCTTATCAGTTTTTGTCCCAAGCATCCATATGCAACTTTTATTTCAGACTCAAAAGTAAGGAAGATAATTTGCATGACACTCAAATTTTAAACTGACTCCAAGCCCTTAAGGACTATCCATTTGTTTCTGCCAGCTACAGAAAAAAAAGTGATCTGTAGTGACTCTTAAAACAGTACAATATGAGAAAACATTTTAATAATATGCTAAACTGAATCAAGCACTGTGCAATTTCTCTCCTTTTCACTACATATATGGGGTTTGTGTTATCTCCTGAATTTGTCCATGAGCCTATTGTCATTACTTTTTTTAAAAAGTCTCTATCCTGCCACCAGCCCTGCTGAGAAATTCCAGTCTGTCAGATCACAATGACTTGGAAGTAGCTCTCAGCAAGGACCACTCATGCTTTAGGTCACCAGCTATGCTGGTGGATAAACCATGACATCATCTTCATACCTCAATTACAAAATATTGCATTCAAAATACTCCAAATCTGCTATTCTACAATAACCTTTTCAAGATAGCAATGAAAATACAAGTGCTTACTATATGTTCTTATTTTAAACAGTAATATTATCTGCATGCAGTTGTTAAAACCATCTCTTAAGATCTCCATCAAGAAATGCACATATGCAATCAAAGTTCACAAGTACATTTACACATAAACCAGTCTGAGCGACACACATAAAAGTGACAGAGGTGAATTATTTTTACCCACAACATCCAAAGCATGTGTTGTAACTACGAACTATACAGGTCTAACCCTGAGCTCAGTGACCTGGGAAGGGAATTTATGCATTTTATCCATCACACGGGTTACCAGCTGTGGGAAATGAAGACCACACTGTTTCCCCCCCACACACACAGAGGGCAAAACACAAGTACGGCTGATTTGCTGGTGACCCACTCCAGCTTCTAGCAAAGTCGTACAACTAACAAAGTGTAGACAATCCTACGACTGTACTAACTCACAGGACCCTTCCCGAAGTCCCAGAGGAGGTCGGACGACACGAAGTGCATGTTCACCACAAGAAGCACAAGTCGAGCACCCCGCAGCAAGGGGAAGCTCTCCAGCGCAAGCTGCCAGCACCGCACCGCCACTCGTGACCCTGACAGCAACCAGCTGCCCTACACCAAGGAAGGCCATGCCTTTTATTTTTGCTGTGTTTTTTGTCTGGGTTTTTTTTTTCTCCTCATATTAGCTGGCAGAAACCTGACACAGGCGCTGGTGACACCTCACCCCGCCTCACTCACCCAGGGCAGCGTGCCGGGGAACTCCGAGCGCCCTAAGGAGCCCCCGGCCGAAACAGCACCCCCCAAGCCCCCCGCACCGGCCCGTCCTCACCTTCGGCCAGCGGCTCCTCGGGGGTCACCTGGTACCGCCCCACCGCCAGCGCCCTGCCCAGGGCCACGCCGCTGCCGGAGCCGCCGCACGCCGTCCCGCCGCCGCCGCCGCCGCTCCCCTCGGACTTGGGCATGCGGGAAAACTTCTTCATGGCGAGCGGGGCCCCAGCAAGAGCCGGGGAAGAGCCTGAGGCAAGGAGGCGGCGAGGGGGCTGCCCCGCTTCACATGCCGGCCGCGGCCCCCGCTTCTCCTCACCCGGCGCCGGCTCCTGAGGGGAGGAGGAGGAAGGAGGAAGGCGAGGAGGAAGGAGGAGGAGGAAGGAGGAAGACGGAGCAGCCGCAGCCCCGCCGGCCGGGGCGGCTGAGGGGACGGCGCGCGCTGTGCCGGGAGCGGCCGCCCCGCCGGCGCGCGGCCGCAGAGCGCAAGCGCGGGGCCGCCCCCGCCCCTCGCAGATGAGCCCGCGCGGCCGGAAGTGCGGCCGGGCCGGCACGTGCGGCGGGAGCGAGGCGCGGCGCGAGACCGCCCCCCCCGCCCCTCAGGGCCCCCCCGCGGCGCGTTCCCGCCCCCGGGGCGCCGCGCGCTCCCTGAGGGGACAGGCGGGAGGCGCTGAGGGGACGCGCCCGGCCGGGCTCTCACAGCCCGCGGAGACCCTCGGCGCCGCTCCTCGGGCCTCACCGACACAGCCCGGAGCGGGACCTGCCCTCGGGAGGGAGTCTGCCAGGAGCAATATGGAGACGGCTTGGTGAGGATCGCGGTGGTAAAAATGGCTCTCCACGCCCCGGGCTGTGGAGGCTCCGGGGTCTGTGGCATGCTTCCAGAAGGGGACTTCCAGGGAGGTCGTGGAGTCTCCCTCTCTGGAGACTTTCCAAACCCCCCTGGAGGTGCTGATGTGCCACCTTCTCTGGGTGACCCTGCTTTGGCAGGGGGGTTGGACTGGATGCTGTCCAAAAGTCTTTTCCAACCCTAACAATTCTGGGTTTCTACGAAATAACTGTGAAAAGCGTTGATGACAAGTATGAATTCCAGTGGCGGGTCTTCGCGAATATGCTATGCAGAAGTTTGAAGGGAACTGGCAGAAAAGAGGTAAAAGGATGGATCTGGACAGGAAACCATCAATGAAATGCAAAATGCTTGTTTTCCCACTGTGAAATGTACTGACCATGTACAGTTTCCCTATTAACATTGACAAAGCAGACTTGGGAATTTACTAACACAAGCTTGTTTACCCAGTGAAATCCTCAGGAAAATAAGAATTGTACTTACAAAACCATTTCTGAACCACAGGAAGTGCTGTGTCCCGCGGTCCCTCGCTGAAATTTGATTGGAAAGGCTGGAGCCACAGCAGCTGGGGAGCCACAGAGAGGTATGTCATTGACAGTGTGCTGCTCCACGGGCAGCCTGGCTGGTTAGGGCAGTACTTGTCACAGTTCCGTAGAGACAACACCAGAAAAACACCCTGCACTTACAAATCACTTATCTCAAGTTTCCCCTTCAAATCCACATTCAGACTGAAGCCGGACATCATCCAAAAATGGCGAGAGATGACAGGCATTGAAAAGGTAGCTTCATTCCAAGCCTGTTCTCCTTGTGAGTCCCTCCTGTCTAAATAAAGCTGTGGTACTTGTGTGTTGTTTTTTTTCTCCTTACCGAATGCAAGCATACAGTAAAAACAAAACTGATGTGGGACACTGTCAGTCTCTCATATGAATAAATGGAGCTGCATTTTTGGCAGTTACAGTGGGAATTTAACTACAAGGCCTTTCCCACAGAACACCTAGGTTTTGGAGGGATATCAGTTACAGCCATCAGTTCAGTAAAAACTCTGGAGAAGTCAGAAGTGTAAATCTTCGGGATGATGTGCCGGTAACCAAATTAGTTTCGAGTTAATCATATTGCCACACTCTTAGTGGGTAAGGAAATGACTGTTTATTGAAGTGACAACTTGTCGCACATCGAAAGCACCGATAAGCTGTTTGCAATAGCAGTCCCCTTTTTGTAGTCATTGCCATCCTTTCAGTAACAACAGATCAATTTTTCAGCAGCATACAGAGACTAATTCACAGTTTTCCTTGGGAGAGAAAGGTGTTTTGAGTGCAGATGAAAGGGACAGAGTTCTGTGAGAGGGATGGCATGAGCAGCAATGTTTTGTTAATGAGGGCATTCCTACAGTGAGATATGCCTATGCTCCTCAGATATTTAATGATATCTTAGAGAAAAAAAATGCAGCTAGGCTATAGGCACAGAAGTTTAGTGCCACTGAGTAGCACAATTTTGCTGGTCCTCAGTAAAAATAATGTATTTGCTAAAAGCCACTGTGAATTTGAGAGCAGGACTGGCTTTTAGGTTACCCTGGTGAGTTTTTATTTGGCTTTGGGGTCCCCATCCCCACCCACGTGTTTTTATTCTTTTTAAAGTAAGAGATTATATTATCACTGGACTTATTTATAGGCCAGACAAAATGAGCCCTCTTGTTATACTGGGATTAACGCTGCTAATCTCTGTTGTGGCATCCTGGAGGATGCAGAGGTCAGCTCCTGGGCAGAGCTGGCAAAGCAGTGTGTCAGCGCTGTGAGCGGGCACTGGCTGCAGGGCTGGCTCCTCTCCTGCCAGGGATTGCCAGGAGCCGTGTTCCACAGCCCATTCCACCTCAAACCTCGCACCAAATGGTCTTTTCCTCTGGGACACCACTGCGTTGTGAGGAGGTTTCGTGTTATGGATTCCCTTTTATTTAAGTATAGGTCAAGGAAGTTCAGTGATAGAGACAATTTTGACAGCTCACTTTAAAAATACGGGCCTGGCCCTCTAAGCAGGTAGCAGGGGTAATTTTGGATGTGTATATGGGTTCTCTGACTTTAATTCCTCACCTGAGCAGAACAACGCTTTGACATTTCTAGAAGCTAAGTTAATTTCCAAAAAGGAAGAGTTGTGAGATTTCTTTCAGCGAAGGTATGAAACCCAAAGTAAACTTTGTTCTTCCTTTTTGAAATGAAAACTCTCCTTTGGTTCAGGCAGAGCAGGGATGCCTCGGTCTCCTGTCTCCTGCATCTGGAATGTGCGTGGTAAAAGATCAGAAAGGTCTTTGCACTGCTTGAAAAACAATCAGGAAACAAATTTCAGTACCCTGAAAGCACCCACAGGCACAGTTATTTTCAGGTTTATGTGAAACAGTAGATCATCTGAAGAAAAATGCAGTGGCAACAGAAGATCAGAGAGATGAATCCTCAGGTAAGGAGAGATCAGCTGCAAAAGGTAGAGGAAGTGGGGGATCGTAATGCAGAGGCTGCACTGAAGCCGGGATATCAGTGATCATTCGGGGGAGTGGGGGATGATGGTCTGTATGGTGTTTTGCTTCTTAAACCTTCAGCTTGATGAGTCGTGAAATCACAGGAGATACTGAGCTTTCATTATTAAAAAAATAAAAATAAAAGAGCAATTAAGGTCAGCTTCTGCTTTTTATGACGGTGGAGTCAACACTGAACTTCCACTGCATGAAAACAGGAGAGACAACAAAAAAGTCCCAGCCATGTGCTGTGTATGTCTCCACCACAATACTGGAACGTTTGGCTTCTTCATTCCTTTTATTGCCTGGGGTCTAAAATAGCGACACGTTTTTCCTTTTCTAACAGTTGTGTAATGGCAGAGCTATATGGTGTGTAAATGATTCCACTTACTGTCTCTATTCAGCACGTAACATACATCTTGAAGCTCCTGTCCCAGTTAGTGTCACAAAAGCAGGCCCAGAGGGGTTTTTAGTGCAGCAGCGGCTGTACTCTCAGTGTCCAGAGTGTTAGAGTGATTGCTGGTGTCACAGGGTGTATCGGTGACTTTATTTCCCCACATACAAAATTAATGTAGGGATTAGCTACTCCATTGCAAAATACACTGAAGATTTATGGAGGAAAGCTCTAGCTGAGAACACTGCTCAAAAAATGAAACACCAGATATTTCACATGTGCTTGGAGTTGGAAACGTGATGGTTTAATCCTCTTTAAACTGCTGAATAGTTCAAATGCCTGTACCTTGATTACTGTTTCTCAAGCAATTCTTTCCTTACATCTCTCCCTACTCATAACTCTTTCCTCTACACAATACATAAATTGGTTTTAAATCAATCCCATGAGAATAAAACAACTTCCTGCAAAAAAGTTAAAAATCCCTTACAGAAAGTAGCTATTAAGGCAAAATAGAAGCAGAGAACTTCCTTTGTGTGGGTGTTGTTTTGGAAATGTCTCTTGGTGCTTCTGGATAAACTCTTTCCCTTCTAATTACCCAAGTTGAGACAAAAGGAAAAAAATCTACTCTTACAGAAATATGTTATTGATGTATTAAAAATTTTAAAGAAATTGGTAATAGAGTCTCTCAAGGTCCCTCAAGTTCAGGAATTACTGCAGTAAATTTTTGTCATTTGGGTACGTGAGGGTTATTTTCTATTTTGTAATAATTTAGTCAGTGTGAACAAAGCACTGCCAGAGACTGGGTTTGCCCAATAAGCTCTTTTAATTTTCCCCTCTTATCGCTTCATTGTTGCATGTTTATTTTGCTTCTGGTCCCATGAGAGCCGTGAGAAACATCACTTTACACACTGAAGTAGGCTATACAGTCCTCCGATCTCAGAAAATACTGTGTCTTAGTTTTGTACTGCTGACCCTGATGGAGTCTGTTTTAGGCACGGTTACTGAAACCACACTAAATGTTTATGATGAGCTAAAAGCTAAGAAAACCCCAGGAGACAACTGGTTTGGGTTTGGGTTTGCATTTTTTCTAGGATGAAGTCATATCCCAGCTCCACATCTCAGAGGCAGGAGTAGTAATGAAAGGCTTTTTTGCTTTGCTTACTTATACATACAAAGTAGCAGAATGTTGGTATGTTGTGAACCCTGTTGGCATGGAAAATATGTTGACGTGGGGGGAATAAAAAACAAAAAGACTGAAGTCACTGGAGCAGAGGGATGGCACAAATCAGGCAGAAAGCAAGTGCATCCTCTGGAGGCTCCCCTGGCTCGCAGGGTCTGAGCAGCGCTGGATGCTTAGCGTTGACCTTGGGAACACAGACAAGTTTTCATTCCTTTCAGTTTCTATCAGCTAATTCTAATCGGGGAGGAAACTAAGGGAGCTGTGGAAAGTAACTAAGTTGCTGATTTGTGAAGTTGAAATGGAAACAGAGGAGCCAGCTGGACAAAATAGTCAAGGTGCAAATAGCTGACATCAGCTTTGATGACACCCAGCGCAGCTCTCATTGACACTGAGGTCAAGAGTCTTTTATTGCAACACGAGGTTCGGTCACTTGTACCACAGCCAGCGTTGAGACCAAACAAAATACAAATTCCTTGTTGAGATGACAACCCTTGGCCGCTTCAAAACAGTAAGGCAAAGTGGGGAAAACGCAAAGCAGCTGTGTTTGTAAGAGTCCTTGGTGAAAATCTGAGAGGAAGGAATAGGAAAGAGGGGGTAACAGGCTCAGCATTGTTCACATCTGACCTGGTAAATTTCTTTACATTTATATTAATCTGTTTCCTTTCTGGAACAGAACAGTCTCCTGTGTTTGTGCTGATGACCAGGTCTCTGGCTTTGTTTGATAGGGTAACATGTTCCTGCTTGCTTTATAAGAGCAGTCTTAGATCTGTATTGGGCCTCCTGCAGTTGAACCTCTTCCCTGCCTTCCATTGTCCAGGTTCCTGGTTATTCCCAGCTTACCAGGAGTCCAGTTGATTTCATTCTCTCTTAGAAACAAAGCCTGATCTCACCCTTTCTTTAACAACTAACTTCTGCGGTCCTAAAAATATCTAAGGATTTTCTTTTACAGAAATGAAATGTGCCCTGTGCAGCCTTTCGAAGGATGGCCACCATCCCAACTTATGTAATGAATAAGTCTTAGAAAGTTGCTCTCTTCCTTGAAAAAGTTACACACGTGACTAAAACACGTGGCCTTTCTCAGCAACTCTTAAACCTCAATACACTGTTTATAAAGGGCCTGCTGATAGTACACAGAGATCTGGCTGGCTGGTTGGTGTTCCCACTCCTGAAAGCTAAACTTTGTTAAAAGAACACTAAAATGCCCAAATTCCAGCACCAATACTACTTGCTGCTTCTACAACTGCTATTGAGATTAAAAGGACAAAAGATGAAGGTCAAGCACAAGTGCACAGCCTGTATAATATCCTAATTTCAGCAGCATACAAATTAGACTGTAGCATCCTTTGTTCAAGTACCTATGAGAGGTAAATACAGTACTTTATAGTGAAAAAAAAAATCCAAGCATCACCAAAACCCCCCTGAGGCATTGGTACATGCCTGAATTACTTGTGAATTAGCAGTAAAAAATTTTGGAAAAGCCACGGCCATTGAGGTTTGAGAAATAATTTTATTTCAAATCTTTTTTTTTTTTTACCCTATTTGCAGAGATAGGTTTTACTGTTAAGAGTTGTTCTATAAAATGAGCAATGGCCTTTTTTCTCCCCATGTATTTTTTGAGTCTTAGAGAACTGCAAAAATATCCCTGGTCATTAGTGCTTATGCTAAAAATACTTACTGCTTTATATAGTCTTATAAGCTTCAAGGGAGGGGAAAAAAAATCCCTGGAACTGAGAGCTTGGGAAGAAAGAATGTCTTTTGGGTCACAAGTGA